CACATTGTGGAGAAATCAAGTTTCTATCTGAATCTGGGTGTATTGTATAATAGGTTAGTAGTTATTGTATACTATACAGAGTACAAGAGATTAGTGGTTTTTGTATACTGTACAGTGTAGAATAAGTTAGTTGTTATTGAAAGCTGTACAGTGTACAAAAGGTTAGTAGTTATTGTATTCTGTACAGTGTACAATAGGTTAGTAGTTATTGTATACTGTATTCCAACGACCTCTATTTTTGGAGGTTTTTAAATATTTTCTCCGTAACACTTAGTACTGTATGTTTTTGTAATATTTCACAAATAATTAATTACTTACGTACTACAGTGTACAATAGGTTAGTAGTTATTGTATACTGTACAGTGTACAATAGGTTAGTAGCTATTGTATTTTGTTCAGTGTACTATTGTATACTGTACAGTGAACAATAGGTTAGTAGTTATCGTATACAGTGTACAGTGTGCAATAGGTTAGTAGCTATTGTATTCTGCTCAGTGTACTATTTGTATACTGTACAGTGAACAATAGGTTAGTAGTTATCGTATACAGTGTACAGTGTGCAATAGATTAGTAGTTATTGTATACTGTACACTGTACAATAGGTTAGTAGTTATTGTATACTGTAGTGTACACTGTAAAGTGTACAACATGTTAGTCTCCTGTCTATACTGTACAACAGTAAGTTACAATACGATATCTCGTATGATATAACCCACAAAGTTCAAGATCAACCATTTATCTACATAGAGCGAAGTGGTTGAACCATTTCTGCGTGGTTGAGCTATTTCCTGTTCATTAAATCTGGTTCCTACTCGTATTCTACTTTTTCAATCGGTAACAAACTTATTCTCTTTAGAACGAAATTGATTCTTTGCCACAAACTCAAATTTTCTAAATCCCTATATATTTTTTAACCTGTTGGTGTAAACCTCTGATAATTTAAAATTAGACTATTTTGTTGAACAGAATTCATAATTTGAAATATCTAAAGTTTACGAAAATGGGTGACAAAGACTTTATTCTCTTATTTTATTCCTCAGACATTTTATTCTAGATGGGGTAAACTTAATGAAGCTAGAGATGCTTATGCTTCAGCACTGCGGCTCGAACCTGGAAATATCAACGCCCGAAAGTACCTGAACAAAATAGAACAAACTTGACCAAACTTCTAAATGTATAAATAAAACAAATTACACCAGTACTTAATTCAGTATGTACAGCTGTTAAAATTTTATTTTTGTATTTTAAAACATTTTATGTCTGTTGAAATTGGAGAATTGAAATTAGTAATTTTTTTCTTTGGGTAAGTGGTCAGAATCATAGTAAAATACCGAAAGGAGTTTTTGTATTCTTAAAAATTAGTTTTTTTTGTTCAATGTAAGGTTTCTAAATGAGTTTTAGTATCATAAAGAGTGATGAAAAAACTTACCCTTTGATGTTTAGTTTTTCCTTTGTTTCTAGAACCCCCCCCCGAAACCTGGGGGGGGGGGGGCGGGAGGGAAGGTTAATCTTAAAAAACCTTAAATTCTGAAATTCGAGTAGAAGAAAAAAATATTTGGTTTTCTCCTAGTATTAAACTAGCTTTGTGTCACATGAAGAGAATATAATATGATTTGCTTTAATTGTAATTTTGTAGTTTAGTTTTTTCAAAAACAAGCATTTTATGTTACATCATTTATTCCGTAGATATATAATTTGTCTTAAGTTTATTAACTACTCTCGTGGGAACCCAGCTAAACTAAATTAAACTAAAATTTCCTTCCTAAAGTCAACCCATTCAAGTTTTTTTTAAACCAAGCGAAGAACAAGGTTAAAAATTTGGCAAATTGTCGGGGAAACAAATATTAAATATTTTTGTAAAACTTCTCAGATTTTTTAAAGTCTTAAGAATCAAAAGTTTTTAATTTAAACAACGATCCAAGTTTTCACTAAATATTTGTTAAATTGATCAGTTTTTTTAAAGAACCTAAAAATTTTTATTTGAATATCGATCAAGGTTTTCCTCAACACCAAATATTTGTTTTATTAAGATTTTACATTTTTTTACAATTTCAACGTTGGAAGTCAATACTTCTGTATTTGTATTTTGACAAAAAAAAACACTTACTTCACTTACAATTCTATGAATTTAATTTTTTTATTTATTTATTTATTTTTCCCTATAAACAGATGGAATTATTTACCATTTCAATGTTTTCAAATCTATTAATAAGACAGTACATATCAGTACACTTCAGTACATTTCAGTACATATATGTGTGCAAGAAGAGTTTGAGAATTTTCATCAACTAAGCAGCAAAGCTACGATAATTTTTAAATGAACTATAATCGACATTTAAGAAATTTATGGCCGCAGCGCCGGTCTCACCTGTCTTAGCCGCAGCACTCGGCCCCATAGCACATCCTAGCTTCAGCGCTCGGCCTCCTAGTTGAAACTTGAAAGGGGGTAATTTTAAAATTTTGAGTTAAATTTATTAAATATTTGTTCTAAAGGACTAGTCCTTTTGAACGTCAGTACCAATAAATATTAGTCCAAAACAAACGTTAGTCCAATCTATCATTAGTTCATTTGATAGGACACAAAAGTTACAGAGATTACACGAAATTTTTCATTTTTATAGATAATTTTTTAAACTCATTAAAAGCAGACAACTTTTTTAACAGCCAGGATTAGGAGTGTAGGAAGAAAGCAGCATCATCGATTACCGATTTAACTGTACCCGCTGTAGAATGACCTTTTATGATAAAAATAAATTAAATTTTCTAATTTTTCTGACAGCTTAGTGCAGTTTTTTATTAAAATGTCAGAAACCATCATTGCATTTTTGTCAGATTTTGCTTGAAAAATATTTATGAGTTTGAAAAAAAAGAAATATATTCTTTATTTGAATATTATTATTGTATTGGACCAAGTCATTTTAAAAAGCCCAAGAAAACGTCGACTAAACTTTTAGAATTTCCCGGAAAAGATTCTCTGATGGGATTTCTCAGGAATTTCCGGGGAATAATGCTCAACTACTGAAGGATTTATCTAGAGCATGAGACCCTTTCCGGAGAATTTCTTGAAACCAAAACTTTGTCTCCAAAATATCTCAAGTTAGTTACAATGTCCATTGAATTTCTCCGCATGTTCTGATGAGCAAGTTTCAAGAATTTTTCGGATTTCTGTTTCCCAAAACATCTCTAAAATCCCAGAAATGTCTGTGTAGTGTGTATTCAGTTTTAGGAATAATAACTTCAAGTGACTTTCCATTTCATGACTGGCATGCTCAATTCACAACTTCTGAAGTTAGAAAAAATATTTTTTACAATATTTATTAAATTCTGAAATTTACCTGCTCTGTTCATTGGAGGGAGTTTCTATAATTTGGATTTAACTGTTTAAATGTGGCATGAAATTATTCATACAATCCCTTGAACACTATAAAGGCCCCAACCTTCTGAATCGATGTGCAGAAAAAGTCATGCGAGTACAGGTAGTGTTGCAATGCATGTTCATTGTTCATAGTCCAGTTTTTCAAGACCAGCTTATCTATATATAAATTTGGCTTGCCTGTCTGTTTGTTTGTATCCATTAAACGGCTGAACCGATCGGGGCCAATTTTTTTGTGGGACATCACGTGACCACAGGGAAGGTTTATGAATGATAAAAATAAAATTAAAATTGTTTTAAATGTTTTTAATCTTGTAAAATAAATTTAATTCTTCTAAATCCGCGAATATTTTTTTAAATCCGCAAAATTTTCTTCTTCTTTTTTTAAAATGTAAACATGTTCACAATTTAAACTGAAGATGGGCGCGAAGCGCCCTAAAAGCCTTGTTTGACAAAAACGCTAACTTTATTACAGGGTTACCCATAAATAATGAGACCTCAGAGACGATTGTGCGGAATTTGTTACTCCGTTTCCTTGCATTCAGAGTTCCCTGTAGGCCAAAAATGGTTTTTTTCTGTTCTTAATCATTTAGTTTACCAATAAAATACTTAGTTGAATGCAGAAACCAAAAATAAAGATTGAATTTTTTTTTAGTTTTCTTTGTGGTAACCCTGCACATAGTTCGGGTGTGCTAGGGAGGTTTGAAAAAAAGTAAATATTAAGACGTCAGGTGTTTTTACATCCATTTTCAAGGTTTTTTTTTCAAAAATGTAGCTATTGTTTAAATATTAAAAAGTAATAGGCCAGCCATCTGACTGACCAGTACCCTACCCCACGCATTGAACTTTGGTTAGCAACATATTCTTTAGATTAATATTCCTTAAAGAATCATCTATTTGGGTGGTTACGTTTTGTTCCTAAACGTAACCACCCAAATAGATGATTTTGAATGTCGACTTTGCGCTCAAACTCGGTAATTATACATCATTAAAACGTATTATCAAATAAATCCTAAAAAAATTCTTCACAACAAAAATGTAATGCAAGGAAAGTTCATTGCAATTGTGCACACTCTGCGTACATATTGAAAGCAGTTCTCTCTGGGAAGAATAGATGCATGAGTGTTCGTTTAGTTTTCGAGGAGGTTAAAAGCATTGAATTTTGATAATTTTGATAATTCACATGATAGTTTCCTATGACCAGAATATTTAATTGATTATTTATGTGAAAGATGGATCCCATGTCAGACTTCGACATCCGTCTTGTGTTTACAGTACCGCCCAGTGACAGTACACTGCAGTACAAAAAATGCGTACACCTTTGAAATAACTTTCCTTCCATTAAATCCTTGCTCCACAATACTACATTCTCAGTTCAACTACTACAAATTGCCGGTCACTCTCTTTAAAAGACAAAAAAAAAGGTAATAGTGTCAAAAATGAGAGTGCTAGGGCAAAAAAAAACTAGACGGGATGGAAGGCAAACACCACTCCCCCCTCACAGCTTGTTTATGGTTAATCTATATATATTGTAACTCAACTCTAATCTCCTAATAAATGCAGTTGTCGAAACTTCAAGATAGATGGAGGGAAGATATTAATATTAGGACAGAGTGCATTAGTTCTTTATTTCTGTAAATGTCTGTTTGTTTTGGTAAATATTAAGATTCTATTCAAGTAAAATATTTAAAATGTTTGCATTTTTGACAATCAAACATCGACAGATAAGGGATTATCGATTCCAACTTTTTTCGTATATTTTTAATTAACAAAGTTTCTTTCAGACAAATTTGGATTTGAAAACCTCTAATTATCATATACGTCTTACTAAACACAACGATTATCTCATAAAAGGTGTCTCACTAAATATGACCATTTCAAGACAGAGTAATTCGTGTGTTTATCTCTAAAATGGTGTTCAAATTATCGGAAACTGCCGAGTCTCGCATTAAAGTGTGAAGTGAACACAATTGACTTTATATTTTCTTAAGAATCCCAAACATTTTATGTCAAAAGCGGTTTATACAATTTGAATGAATACATTTTTTTATATGAACAAATTGGCGCGGTTTTTTATGCGAACAAACTTGCACTGGTTTTTTAAACGAAAGGTTTTGTCTATAGCTTGGATACATTCAATCATAACTCCTCTTATTGAAAATCTATTGGGAAAATGTTTTGACTTTCTGTTATGTCACCTGAGCTGAAAACTTTAGAATAAGATATCCTTAATCCCAATTACTTAATCCGAGTATTCAATGGACACACTTTTGATTTTCTTCTTAAACCGTCCTTTCGTGGATATAGTAGAGAAAATCAAAAACCAGTTTTTCTAATTTAGAGAGTTCCTCCCATTTCTGTATAGTGTATGTGGCGAGCAAAATTTCAAATTTATCGGCATCATATATGCGACTCTGATTGGTTGAATTTTATACACTTTTCAGGATACTAGTACAAGATTAAATTAGTCTCGATATTAAGAAAAAGAGAGGATCACGCATTAATCTCGATATCCACCATACTAAAGTTTTCAGCTCGGATAAGTTAACTTTATTCAAACTTGCTCATAAAATTATAAGCATAGATAATAGAATATATAGAGAGGAATTAAAAGAATCTCTCGGTATGAATTTTTTCAGTCCCTTTCAGCCTGAAAGGGAGTTCAAAGTGTACAAANGAAATACAAGATTTAACCATCAGAAATACAAGATTTAACCATCAGAAATACAAGATTTAACCATCAGAAATACAAGATTTAACCATCAGAAATACAAGATTTAACCATCAGAAATACAAGATTTAACCATCAGAAATACAAGATTTAACCATCAGA